ACACACACACACACACACACACACACACACACACACACACACACACACACACACACACACACACTTTCTTATCGCTCACAGATGAGTAATTGATCGAGGAGCTGAAGAAAATGTCCACATGAAAAGGACGAAACCCTGACGGCTGGGGAGCATCATTTGCTGGAGGTTAGAGCACTAATGTTTCTGACACTGAACACAGCCGAGGGAAGCAGTTTATAAACCTTAATAAAGCCTGATAATAAGGGGTGAGGTAAATAAGAGCGAGGTTAATAAGCTCTGGGCAAGATGCTGTGTTTGAGCTGAAAAGGCGAAGAAACCCTGAGTTCAGCCAGATCAAAGCCTCACATCAAGATTACTACTCTTGGAAAATAAAACACAACAAATTGGCAGCAGGCAGCAACTTCTTTTTTACTGATTCTTGCTATGATAGCATCAATTAGCACTTCAAAGCAGCACGAGGGTTTTCTTCAGCTATCTTTAGATGCCAGTAGGCGTCTTCCAGCCATTCTGTCAATAACATTCAAAGTTGCTCTTGAGGGAGAAAGAAGAGAGGAACGAGGAAGCATGTTTGTAGATGTTTCCTGCCCAATCTAAGGAAGCATCACCTTCATAATTGGCATCGTTATAAAGATCAACAGAGTCGAGACTCTAAGATGTCAGAGAAGACAACAACAACAACAACAAGAGGCAATGGTTGACAGAATAAATTGGTGCAGAGGCATGCGTGGGACTGTTGCATATATTGAACATCAGGGTTTTCTTCAGCTCTGTTAGTAGGAGGTTGTTATGATTTAAAGGCCTAGCATTCCTGAAAGGAGCGCAAACTTCCTGCTGCCTTTTTTACAAGAGTTTTTGACAAAAATCTTCTTATCCTGAGAAATGACAAACTTAGAACAGAGGTACATCGACTCATGCAGTATTTTAAAGGGGCAATATTATGTGTTTCTCAGGCATATATTTAAATACTATACCATAATTAAGTATCCATGTCTTTATATGTTATAAAAATGCTATTTTTATGTTTAAATAGAAAATAAACTTATCTTCTCATCACTTCCTCTTCTAAACGCCTTGAAATTGGCCTCTGTCTCTTTAAGAACCACCTTCCACTTCTGTCTCGC